GACACCATCAGCGTGCAAGGACACCCGCGCTCCCGCCAGGAATCTGGCTTGGTTCCCCAAGCTCCAGGCACAGGAAATGGCCCACACAGCATCTCCCCTACGGAGCACCTCAACTTAACACGTCCAAACCTGACTCTGGGTTTTTCTTTCCTCAAACAGTCCCTCTCGGGGTCTGTCTCAGGCGGGACCTGCAGACCCCTCCAGGCATCCACGCTGCCTCCCTCCTCTCTGATCCCCAACCCGTTCCACTGCAGATGGTGTGGGCGCAGCTGCCAGGTCACGTCCAGAATCAGACCTACCAGGACAGCTCGGCCACTGCCAGGGCAGCAAGCCTGTCGCCTCCCCCAGCCCTTGGGCCCGTGTAAGCTGCAACCAGAGGGGTCACCTTGGTTTTTTGGTTTTGTTTTTGAGACAGTCTTGCTCTGTTACCAGGCGGTGGCTCGATCTCAGCTTAATGCAACATCTGCCTCTCAGGTTCAAGCGATTCTCTTGCCTCAGCCTCCTGAGTAGCTGGGATTATAGGTGCGTCCCACCACGCCTAGCTAATTTTTGTATTTTTAGTAGAGATGGGGTTTCACCATGTTGGCTGGGATGGTCTCGATCTCCTGACCTCGTGATCCATCCACCTTGGCCTCCCAAAGTGCTGGGATGACAGGTGTGAGCCACTGTGACTGGACGAGGAGTCATCTTAAACTAAGGTGAGAGTGACAACTTCCTATTTCCCTCGGGGTCAAAGCCAAGTCCCCCTGGAGGCCCAGCAGGACTATCTGCTCTTTCCCTCCCCACCCTCTCCTCCCTGTTCTCCCTCTGCTCCAGCCACAGGGGCCTCCTCCCTATTCCTCCAACATGCCAGGCACAGTCCTGCCCCAGGGCCTTTGCACAGGCGGTGGCTCTGCCCAGAGCTGCTGTGCGGACCCCTCACCCCCTCCAGACTCCCGCTCCACAGCACGCTATCCAGAGACATCCTCACACTCTCCCTTTCCAGAAAGAAGGCCCCTTACACTTAAGCCTCTTGCCTGACTGCATTTCCTTCCACCACGCTCATCATGCCAGAGGCAGTACCCTCTGTTTGTGGGATACTGCCTCCTCCACTAGAACACCCCAAGAGCTTTTTCCTTTTTTTTTTTGTTTACAATGAATAATTGTCACTACTACCTACAGCAGGCACCAGCAAGGGTTTCTTACAAAGGGCTGGACAGTAAATCTTGGCCTTGCGTGACAGTTTCTGCTGTGACCACTCAGTTCTGCTGCTGCAGCACAAAAGTGGCCACAGACCGTCTGTAAACAAGTGGCTGTGACCCAGTGCCAATAAAACTTTATTGATGAACACAGCTGGCGGGCCGAATTTGACCTGTGGGCCATGGGTGGCCAACCCCTGGTTGTGCTAAGGACCTGGCACAGGGGAGGTGCTCAGTAAATCTGCTGCCTGAATAAGCCAACAGCTGCCTGCTCTAAGCCCTGCCAGATTGTGAACAGTCACTGGGGAAGGCTGGCTTCCTGCCCATCCTTGTCCCCTCTCCTGCAGGGCGTGCCGGCTGAGTGGGGAGCCGGTCAATGAACAAACAACATATTGAACCACATGTGACTAACGCAATGAGTCAACAGCATTCGTCAGGCTCTGCTCACCTTCCCCGGGGCTGAAGGGCTCACTCCAGTCGTAGCCCTGGGATTTTAAAACGGCGGTGACTTTGTACAAATGGCAGAAGCCGGTCTTGCACTCATTGGCGCGGAGGAAGCAGAGCTCGTCCTCTCCCTCTGATTGGGGGAAGGGATAGAAGATGTCATGAACCTGTCCAGAAAGGAGACAGAAGATGTGTCAGAAGGCGGGGGCAGCTGGGCATGGCAGCTCACACCTGTAATCCTGGCAGTTTGGGAGGTTGCAGCGGGAAACTTGCTTGAGCCCAGGAGTCTGAGAGACCAGCCTGGACAACATAGTAAGACCCTACCTCTAAAAATGAGGAAGTAAGTTAACCAGGCATGGTGGTGTAGGCTTGTAGTCGGGGCTACTCAGGACGCTGAGGTGGGAGGACCACTTAAGTCCCGGAGGTCGAGGCTGCAGTGAGCTATGACTGAACCACTGCACTGCACTCCAGTCTGGGCACCAGAGCATCCCTGTCTCTAATTTTTAAAAAAAGCCAGGCACGGTGGCTCACGCCTGGAATCCCAGCACTTTGGGAGACTGAGGCAGGCAGATCACCTGAGGTCAGGAGTTTGATACCAGCCTGACCAACATGGAGAAACCCTGTCTCTACTAAAAATACAATTAGCCAGGCATGGTGGCACATGCCTGTAATCCCAGCTACTTGGGAAGCTGAGGCAGGTGAATCGCTTGAACCCGGGAGGCAGTGGTTGCAGTGAGCCGAGATCGTGCCACTGCACTCCAGCCTGGACAGCAAGAGCAAAACTCTGTCTCAAAAAAAAAAAAAATGTATGAGGGACAGGCTCCAATGGCGGCCGGTCTCACCAGCACCCCAGACCCTCTTCCCCACTAGCCAGGGACGGCCAAGCCCTGAGCTCCCTTCTCCACGCAAGGGCAAACCCCCTGCCACGGGCACTCGGCTGGCGCTTGCCCCGCTTACATTGATCCAGACATTCGTGACCTCCTCATACACCACGTACGGCTGGACGTTCCTGGGGACCGCTCTGGCGGAGGCTAGCCGCTGCTCCTCATTCTCCGTGCTCGGGATGAACAGGGCTGGGGGAAGGAGGACGAGCTGGAGCCACTGCTGGGGCCGGTCCAGGAACATGGCCCAGGCACTGAGGGGGAAGACGGGAGGGAAGCAGGGAGCCTCAGTGGCCCGCAGAGAGAAGCTAGGGGTGCAGCGTCCAAACCCCGGTGGAATCAGGACCGGGCTTCCTGCGCCGGCTTCACCTGCTCTTGGCCAAGTAACCCCGCGGCACCCACAGGCTTCCTTCCTGGCATGTGCTTAGGGGATGACAGGATACGTGACAAGCCTCCATGATCTGAGTGTTCCAGAAACACTGGCCTAAGTCTCAGGCAGCAAACTGTAACAGTTTCTCTTCTTCACCGACTCCTCGGCTCACAGTTGCTAGGCTTTATTTCACAGCTTGCTTTATTTATTATTGAGACAGAGTTTTGCTCTTGTTGCCCAGGCTGGAGTGTAATGGCTCGATCTCGGCTCACTGCAGCCTCCACCTCCCAAGTTCTAGAGATTCTCCAGCCTCAGCCTCCCGAGTTGCTGGAATTACAGGCGCCCGCCACCATGCCTGGCTAACTTTTATAGTTTTAGTACAGATGGGGTTTCGCCATGTTGCCCAGGCTGGTCTTGAACTTCTGACCTCAAATGATCCACCAGCCTCAGCGTCCCAAAGTGCTGGGATTACAGGTATGAGCCACTGCGCCCGGCCCGAATGAACAATTTTTAAACTTGAATTTATTTTCAGAGGAGATGTCCGTATTCTATGTGGAAAAGCAGCACCTCCACACAAAGAAAGAGCAATGAAAACCAAAGCGGAGGGAAGCAGCACAGGGATGTGAAGTCCTAATGAGAGTGGGCGCCAGGCTCAGACCTGCCATCCCAGCATTTGAGAGGCCAAGGCGGGAGGACTGCTTGAGCCCGGGAGTTTGAGACCAGCCTGGCCTACATGGCAAGACCCTGTTGCTACAAAAAATAAAAATGTTAGCAAGGCACAGTGGCTCGTGCCTGTGATCCCAGCTACCCAGGAGGCTGAGGTGGGAGGACTGCTTGAGTCCAGGAGTTTGAGGGTACAGTGAGCTGTGATGGCGCCACTGCCCTCAGCCTGGGCCACAGAGAAAAACCCCATCTCTACAAAAAAATATGAAAAATTTAAGAAGGAAAGGAGACCTAGCAGTGTAGCGCACGGGAAGCAGGTTTTTTTTTTTTTCTTTTGAGACAGGGTCTTGCTGTGTCACCAGGCTGGAGTTCAGAGGCGTGATCCTGGCTCACTGCAAACCCCACCTCCCGGGTTCAAGTGATTCTTCTGCCTCAGTCTCCCGAATAGCTGAGACTACAGGCACGCGCCATCACGTCCAGCTAATTTCTGTATTTTTAGTAGAGATGGGGTTTTATCATATTGGCCAGGATGGTATCGATCTGTTGACCTCATGATGTGCCTACCTTGGTCTCCCAAAATGCTGGGATTACAGGCTCGAGCCACTGTACCTGGCTGGGAAGCAGTTTTTCTTTTATCTTTTTTTTTTTTTTTGGAACGGGGGCTTGCTCTGTCACCAGGCTGGAATGCAGTGGCTTGATCTCGGCCCACTGCAACCTCCGCCTCCTGGGTTCAAGCGATTCCTCTGCCTCAGCCTCCCGAGAAGCTGGGACTACAGGCATGCGCCACCATGCCCGGCTAGTTTTCTGTATATTGGGAAAGACAGGGTTTCACCACGTTGGCCAGGATGGTCTCAAGCTCCTGACCTTGTGATCCACCTGCCTCGGCTGTAAAGTGCTGGGATTACAGGTGTGAGCCACTGCGCCCAGCCCTCTTTTTACTTTTCTGAGACGGAGTCTTGCACTGTCACCCAGACTGGAGGGCAATGGTGCGATCTTAGCTCACTGCAACCTTGGCTTACGGGGTTCAAGCAATTCTCCCCGAGACTCCCAAGTAGCTGGGATTACAGGTGCATGCCACCAGGCTCAGCTAATTTTTTGTATTTTTGGTAGAGATGGGGTTTCGCTATGTTGGCCAGGCTGGTCTCAAACTCCTGACATCGCGATTCACCTGCCTCAGCCTCCCAAAGTGCTCGGATTACAGGCATGAGCCACTGCGCCCGGCCTTGGGAAGCAGTTTTTCTGTGAAACAGAGCCAGATATTAAATACTTTGGTGGGCCACAGTTTGTCACGGCTACTCAAGTCTGCGACTGACGGTCTGGAAACGGGTTGGTGTGGCTGTGTGCCAACACAACTTTATCCATGGATGCTAGGATGTGGACGTCATGTCACTTTCACGTGGGATAAAATCTTCTGTGAATCCCCTCCCTTCTGACCCCCGATTGCTTAAAAGCATAAATGCCGAGGCAGAGGCAGGCATTAGCCTTGAGGCCAGGAGTTCGAGACCAGCCTGGTCAACATGTGAAACCCCATCTCTACTAAAAATACAAGTTCGAACCACTGTACTCCAGCCTGGGCGACAGAGTGAGACTCCATCTCAAAAAACAATAAATAAATAAATAAATAAATAAGCATAAATGCCATTCTGAGCCCATGGAATATACAAAAACAGGCAGAGGCTAAATTTGCCCGCCGGGGCTTGGCCCCCGTTTAGGGAGGCGGCAGAGCGTTTTCTCCGTGACATGGGTGGGAGGCTGCGGAGTGAGCACAGGGAGCACCTCCACTTTGTGACTCAGTTTTTCTGACTGAGCCTGAGGTCTAGGGACACCTGAGATACCCTCTGTAGGTCTCCTCCCCACTTTGGGAAACTAGATCCGCGTGTCTGGTGGCTCTGGAACTGGGCCTCACAAGTCCAGTGTGTCATCCTGAAACTGGCTGAGGTCAGGAGGGCCCTTTGGACACTGGGCTGAGACCCGTCCTGGAGGTGGCACTGCGGGAAGACATGTGAGCAGATGGAAGGAACGGCACAGAAGGCCGGGAGGCGGCTTCGGTGGCTGCCCAGGGCCCAGGGCCCTGCCTGTGAATTCCTCGGGTCCCAGCCGGAGACACTCACTATTTGCCGTCCCGGGTCCACCCGGCCCTGGCGATGTACTCCACCTTCGGGAACAGAGAGCTGAAGGGCTGCACCAGCTCCTTCTCCTGGGTCGAGACGATCTGAAGGGAAACAGGTGTGGGTCACACCCTGGCCTGCCCAGTGTGACCCACACCTGTTTGTCGTGTCCCCGCAGATTCATATGCTGGAGTCCGAGGCCCCAGGACCCCAGAACGTGACCTTCTTTGAAAACGGGGCCCCTGCAGATGCACTGAGTTAAGGCGAGGCTGTGCGGAGAAGGGTGGGCCCTGACCCAGCAAGACTGCCGTCCTCACAAGGGAGACGTGTGGACACATACAGAGGGAGGCTGTCTTGAAAAGGGACACAGGAAGCAACAGCCACCAAGAAGCCATGGAGAAGGAGCCACCTGCCAGCAGCCTGGTGTTGGACACTGAGCCCCAGAATCACAAGACAGTCAATTTTGGCCATGTAAGCCACCCAGTCTGTGGTAGTTTGTCATGGCCCAAACAAACAACTGCAGGCACCCAACAGGGGCAGGTGGGCTGGGTGAGCCAATGGCAGCACCCCCATGGGTGCCTGGACCCAAAGGCTCTGGTCTGGGCTGTCCCTTAGAGCCAAGTGGCTCTGGGCAAGCACAGCCCCTGGACCCAGGGTTTCCCCACGCATAAACGGGGCTGGCACGGCATCTCCAGGGGATTAAGAGAAAGGGGACCAGGTCCTCCTCCCACCTAAATGGGGCTGGCACGGCGTCTCCAGGAGATTAAAGGGAGAAAAGAAAGGGTGGCGGGGCCTCCAGCGCTACCACTTGAGTGGGTCACCAGCCCTACATCTCCAAGCTGCCTTGTTTGACTGGCACCACCCACGCCCACCTAAGGACTCTGCACATCTGAGAGTGCAAGGAGCCACTAAAACAGTGGCCCACGCCTGTAATCCCAGCACTTTGGGAGGCCAAGGTGGGCGGATCACTTGAGGTCAGGTGTTGGAGAACAGCCTGGGCAACATGGACAGACCCCACCTCTACAAAACCTACAATTAGTTAGGTGTGGTGGTGCATGCCGGTAGTCCCAGCTACTCAGGAGGCTGAGGCAAGAAGATTGCCTTGAGCCTGGGAGGTTGAGGCTGCAGTGAACCGTGACTGCACCAGTGTACTCCGGCCTGGATGACAGTGAGACCCCGTCTCAAAAAACAAGAACAAACAAAACCAAACCCCAGCCTGAAGGGAGGTTTCATGTGGATCACTGGCAAAGCCACTCAGACTGATCGCCTGAAATGTGTCACAATGCTCCTGTCAAGAATACAAAGGAGGTCTGGAGAGCCTAATCGTGTCAAAAAGGATCCACCCTGGCCAGACACGGTGGCTCACGCCTGTAAACCCTGCACTTTGGGAGGCGGAGGCGGGTGGATCGCGAGGTCAGGAGTTCAAAACCAGCCTGGCCAATATGGTGAAACCCCGTCTCTACTAAAAATATAAGATGTGAGACCCACACCTATAATAAAAATGTGCCACCGGGCATGGTGGCAATGCCTGTAGTCCTAGCTACTCCGGAGGCTAAGGCAGGAGAATCGCTTGAACCAGGCAGTCAGAGGTTTCAGTGAGCTGAGATCATGCCACTGCATTCCAGCCTGACGACAGCATGAGACTCCATCTCAAAAAACAAAAAAAAGAATTCAACCCTCCAAATTATGAAAACAGGTTCATTTTATCTTACATGTTTCCCCAAAACACGATGTCCCTTTTGCAAAAGCACACAGGGGCCTACTTGTTTTGTCTCTGGCCTTCCGTCCTGTGGTGCAGGGAAAGCGAGGGTGTCTCTGGATGCCTGGTGTCCCCACTGTCAATTACTCTCCTCTGCCCCAGCCTCTTTCGCCCAGGGCTCTGTCTGTGAGTTCTCCAATGTGACACTACCTAACTTCCTGACACCCTTCTATATCTCATGGGATTTGCAATTTCTGAGAGAACTGATCAGTGAGGGGCTACCGCGGAGCCCCCAGGGGGGTAGGGACGTGAGAGATGGGAGGAATATGCTGGGCTGGAGGCAGCTGGCTAGGAAGGCAGAGGCTGAGGGAGATACGGTCAGAGGTATAATCTGCTGGTGACACCTTTTGCTGACTGATGACACCTCCAGGCTGTGGGGTCCTTTGAGATGACCCCCAGGTGATGAGGACCCTGCTTACTGGATGCTAATGAGGCGGCAGGGAGGGGGGTCCAGAACACTCCCCTCCACACAGTAGCTGACCCGAGGATCTGTCCAAAATACTGGAGGAGAGACGCCTCATCCGAGGTTGGGGTCCCCCAGGTGTTTGCCCCACAGAGTTCTCTGTTCTAGAAACTTGGAGAGAGGGCAGCTCTGGACCCACACATGGCGCCCTCCCCGGGGAGCCTGCGAGTGCTTGCCGAGCCTGTCCTCGCAGGACCCCTACCTGATGCTTGTTCCTTGCCTCAGGCGTGGCCTTGAGTCTCAGGACCCCCTCTGTGAGGCAGGGAGGCCAGCTCGCTATGCTTTATTCCAGACCGCAGGCCCAGACACACGCAGGGATGGCCCATGGCCAGGCAGCAGGGCTGGGGCCTTGGGAGTGCCCCCAGAAGGGAGGTGAGTGATCTGCCCATCCTGCCCGGCTGCCTACCCAGCCCTTCCCCAAATCATCTGGGAGATTCGCTAGGACGCGCCAGGACCCCTTACCTTGCCCTGCGTGTCGACCTGGAACTCCGCCAGTTTCAAGGCGATCTTGGGATTCTTGCTGCCTGCAAAAACCAAAGTGAGGTGAGTGCCAGGCAGACATCACCTGTGCATGCTAAGAGCCAGTGGGGGGGCCTGGGCTCCGGGGTGACGTCCATAGAGAGGTGCACAATGGGTAGGGGGCAGGCAGGAGAAGCCAGGTGTCCCACAGTCAGTCTGCAGGTACCTTGCCCAGCTGGTACAGGCCTGACGCCCCTCAGGCGGGGACCTTCTGACTTTGGGCCTGGGTCGCATTCCCGACAGTGACGTGACATTTGACTTTCTCATTTAGGAACACAGGCCACGCACTGTGCTGAGAGCTGGGGCTTGTGGGGGCCGCAGACACAAGGAAGATGCCATCCCTGCCTTGGGAGAGCTCCAGAGCAGACAGCAAAGCCTGAGGCGTCACGAGGACACCACCAACAATGTGACAAGTGGGATTTGTCCCATGCAAAGCAAGGGAGCCCATGACCACTCGACCTGCACTCTGGGGAGGCCAATGGCGAAATGTAAGGGACCCAAGAGGTTTCTGAAGAGTGGGACCTAGTTCAGGCTCCAAAACAGGGCATGGGCCACAGCAGGGTGGAGAATCCTTATTTTTCTGGCTAGACCTACAAAAAACTCAACTCCAGCCCTCATGGCTCTGGCCCCCAGGGCAGGTGACAGCTCTGAGCCTCCGTGTTCTCATCTGTCAAATGAGGGGGAAGAGACTGCCTTAGCCCATCTGCAGTGGAAGCTCGAAAGATCCCACAGGAAACGTCCATCTAGCATGGCACAGAGCAGGCACTCACAGAGTACCGGCAACCGCGACGCTCCTATGTGCTCCCATGGGGGTGGCAAACCAAGGCCTCCATGCTGATCTGGGCTGCATGTGTGTTCTGTTTGGCTCCAGAGGTCTTTTAAGACAATTGGAAAGATGTTTAAGAATTGAGAGTGGCTGGGCATGGTGGCTCACATCTGTAATCTCAGCACTTTGGGAGGTCGAGACGAGAGGACCACTTGAGGCCAGGAGTTCGAAACCAGCCTGGGCAACACAGCAAAACTCCGTCTCTACAAAATTTTATGTATTAGGTGGGCAACGAAGACTCTGTCTCTACCAAAATTTTATGTATTAGGTGGGCAACGAAGACTCTGTCTCTACCAAAATTTTATGTATTAGGTGGGCAACGAAGACTGTGTCTCTACAAAAAATTTCAATTTTGGCTGGGCACGGTGGTGCACACCTGCAGTCCCAGCTACTTGGGAGGCCGAAGTGGCCGGGTCACTTGCGCCCAGGAATTTGGGGCTGCAGTGAGCCGGGGCCGAACCTCTGTACTCCTCCCGGAGCCACAAGGTGAGACCCAGTCGCAAAAAGAATCAAACAAAAACCACTGTAGTGTGAGGGCCAAACCCAAAGAGACGGTGAAAACCCATCTCCACTAAAAATTCAAAATTAGCTTGGTGTGATGTGTGCCCGTAGTCCCAACTGCTCGGGAAGGTGAGGCAGGACAATCCCTTGAACCCAGGAGGTGGAGGCTTCAGTGAACTGAACTGAGATCACACCACTGCACTCCAGCCGGGGGGACAGAGCGAGATCCCGTCTCGATCCAGCCTGCCTTCTGTTTTTGTATGGCTAAAAATCCTTCTTTAGTTCTGAGATGGTTAAGAAAACAAACAGCACAGGAGTGATAGATTGGCTAACATGAAAATCACATACATCTCAAGGTGAATTATTTGCGAT